GGAATAAGCACACTGAACTGCATTGAAGATGCATTGAAAGGTGGACTGAAGAGAATTTGTAAATCCACTCAAAAAGTTCAGATTAGCTTGACAAGATGGCACTGAAGTTTGCAGACAAATTGCTGTTATTTGAATGCACTGCATTTTGGCGTAATTTAAAGTGGAAGTAATTGTTCAATATGCAAGAAAAGTGACTGAGAAACACTGCTTGAGGCAACAGCACAATGGTTGTTGCTGAGAGAAATTTGGAGGATTAAGAAGGAAATGCGGAAAGCAGAGAACAGCATAGGAAACCAGAGAAAGCCAGCAATTATTTTAAGTGCTAACCTTTCCCTGTTTTTAATCAGCGTTTAGATTAAATTCTTCTGCAACAGAGTCAAGATCACTCAGACTGAAGATCTAAAGCAACTTTAAAATAATAACAGCTGCAAATTAAACACCAAATGACTACACAACTACAGGAATGACTTACTGTTTTTGGCCCTGAACAGGCACAGGTATACAGTTATATGAACAATTTCTTTTATAGTAGACTGCTCATCTCCACTGTAGTTAAAAATAATGAAAATAGTCATTATCATTTTTTTTTTTTTTCCTGATGAAAAGTTTTCAATGCTAGCAGAAAAGCCTGAAGAGTTACCAGAAACTTCTGAGTGGCACAAGCAGACAGATGGGGTTCTCTAAATTTTTTTGTGCTACAGTAGCAGCATTATCCATTCTCTTGATAGCAAACTTAAAAGCAAACAGTAAACCTTTAATGCTGCTGGAGAGGTAACAAACCCACCCCCTTTCTCAGCAACCTTATCACATAATCTGAATTTTAGTAACAAACCTCATTCTCTGGCATGTTAACTCTCTGCAGCATCTGTCACTGCTATGAATGGTTGATCATAAGTACCTCTGTAGTCATCTCAATGCTATTAAGCAGATGGCAACGCTAAATCCGAATGATGTAGTACATCTCCCTAGTGGACTTTGTTTCCATACACTACCATTATTCTACAATTCCTCAGCGATAAATCTTATGTATTCTAGAGAACATTTAACAGCGAACTGACAATGCCAATTGATTTATTAGCACCAGTTTCTCTTTGCCCTATTATCGTCTTCGCAAACGCTTGTGCAGCTCATGTATGGAGCCACTAAGGGACAAAAGCACATTTGCTCAATTTGCAACACATTTCAGAGATTTAAAATCAACAGATTTTTTTCTTCACATAAAAAAATCTCAAGATTGATCTACCAGCTAAAAAGTAAGACCCCATTAAATTCTCTGGTTTCTTCCACAACATTCTTCTCTACATTTTTGTACTAAAATTGTTCTAGCACTAATACCAGACCACAAAAATGCCCACTTTCTGCAATAAATCTGAGTTAAAGATAGGAGCTCTAGATGGATTTGGGAAGTCTCTCAGAGTTGGTTACTTCTCACTGGTGACAGGATGAGAGGAAATGGCCTCAAGTTGCACCAGGGTAAGTTTAGGTTTGATATCAGGAATAATTTTTTTTAAAGAAAGGGTTGTTAAGCACTGGAATAGGCTCTTCAGTGAGGCAGTTGAGTCACCATCCCTGGATGTGTTTAAAAACCATTTGGATATGGTGCTCAGGGACATGATTTAGCAGAGGGTTGTTCAAGTTACAGTAGTACAGTCAGGTTGTGGTTGGATTTGATCTTTAAGGTCTTTTCCAATCAGAGTTATTCTGTGATTCTAAGTCTGTGTTGTGTGAGCACACGCACACACACAATAAGGGGTGCTATCAAATCTACATGCATCAGACACACCCTCAAGTATCTGAACCAAGAGCCCCACAAGGAGATGCCACAGCAGTATCCTGCACTTACAACTCACACTCTACTGTAAGATCCTGAAGTTTTTGATGTAGCTCTTCAATATTTAATTACTATATGTTTTTATATGACAGATTTCCTGAAGGAATTACTGACTGCATAATAGGATATCTGTGCTGCATGACCAACTATCTTCAGCTCTATTTTTGCTGCTTTCTTTAGCATTTCCCTTAAATGATCAGAGCTCCCGGCCAGTTTTCATTGCTCTGTAAGTAAAAAGGCTGCTTCAATTGTTTGATTTTCAGAAGTTGAGAAATTTGTGTTAAATTCATTTTAGGTTGTTTAGCTTTTTATGAAAACACTGAACAGTGTTTAACCACCTTACTAGTTTGCCCTAATATAAATTTTGTCTAAGGATCCTCTGCAAAAAATTAGATGTAATTTAGTCACATCTCTTCTGAAAATCAGTTAAGATAACCAGCCAAGCTTAGCGCAGCTCCAAGGGATATCTTTTTAAAGTTTCTTTAACCATAACAAATAATTCTGATAAGAAAAAAACACACCCCCGAGCACTACAATCTGGGGCTTTGTCGCATGAACAAACAACTGTGGATAAGGAAATGTTTTAAATGAAAGCAACCTCTACAGGATTACAGGGCATTAAGATGGATCAGAACTTAGAAAGAACTCTGATGTTTCTCTCCTTATTAATGCTGTGACAGGCTTTAACTAAAGCTTCACATTGTGTACAACTTAGATACTTTCTTGTACTTGACAATGTTAAGTAAAACACCACTGAAATTTAAACAAACATGATGTGGTAGCCTCAAATGAGTAATAGGAATGAACTGCGTAAACAAATACAAATTCTGAGCTACCCCACTGCACTTAGAAATACACAATATGCTGTTCTTCATATACTACACCATCCTAGTCCATCTCAAATTTGGCCATTTTTGGAAATTACACTAAACACATTAATCAAAATTAAAAAGAATACTGGGGAGTACTGCTGTCCTGTACTGAATGGCTGAATTTGAAGAACTTATGCTCCTGATGCATACATCTTAAAGATGCAAAGAACAATTTGGAACTATTTCAATCCTAGTGCAAATTTCCATTTTTAACAAAGGAATCACTGAAATAAGGAAAATCTTTAAAAACAAAATAAGTATTCAAACCATCTCAACTTTATCACACAAGAAAATACATCTGTAAACATTAACCAGTTCTAATGAGGTGCAGGAACAGAATTCCTGCACTGAATAACTACTGCAAATGATTTAATAAACAAAACTCATCTTTTCAGTTTATTAGTCATCTCACAAATTTCCTTGTTAATTTAGAATATCGTTCTTGAGAAATCAGTACCAGAAGATACACTAAAATGCTACTACTTTTTCAAAAGATCATTGCTTTAAACATATAAATGGAAATAAGAATACGTTTGTTATTAAATGTGTTTTAAACATGTGAACGCTCTCTATGCATAAACATCTTTTCTATCCATGCATCACAAGTGAGGTAAAATATAAAGAAAAGTTTAAGCTACGACAATTCTATTTTTCATAATTTCCTTCACAGAAAGAACACTGTAATGTAACTAAATATGATAAAACATCTCTTTGTGGTTGAAAAACATTTTGCAATATGTGCTACTATTGATATTCAAATTAAATGCTATTAGTCTAGGTAGCTCAGATGGCTGTTGATAGTTACTACTTCTTGACTGCCAAGACAAACCTAATATTCTTTTCTGCCAAACTAGAAAACATGCAGAGAATGAGCATCCGTACCCCAAGAGAAATTACAAATGAACCATTTTTTGTTTTCTTTTAGCATACTTAACAAAATTATGGGAAAAATAGTATTTTGAAATTAAGTGGAGATCACAGAGTAATCAATTTGTGAAGCATCCCCTTCCATAACAAGTTTAAGCATATCAGAAGAATATATAATATCTACACATACACATATCATTGTTAGGGCTTTATTCATCAATTTCATCTCTTAGGAAAAAATTTGCTAATTTTAGTTCAAAGGAAAAGAAATCCTAGTGAAATCCTTAGCATGAAAAAGAAGCAAACTGTAGCAATGTTTTCAGTTTTGGCTCAGTCAAATGACTTGGTAATGAAATCTGATTGCTATGTGCAATAAACCCTGTTACCCAACACTAGAAGCAGTAAAATAGTACAGAATTACCAACATAAAAGTTGAGGACTATTCTGGTAATATTCTTTTTGGGGAAAAAAAAAAAAAAATCTATTACCAGCAGCTGGTCTCTAAATGCCTACAGAGCATTGTATTTTGGAGGTCCTACACTGTCTTTTTTTAAAAAAATCCATTTTTAGTAGCTTATAACACTATAGGAATCAAGTACCATATATACAAAGGTAATATTTCCCTTGTGTTAGTTCTCAACAATAATGACATTGGAACATTCCACTACGATTTTCCACATGAAGTTGATGGGCACAGGGAAGAATTTATAAATACAACAAAATTTAAGTTGGGTGTGTCAACACTAAAGTAAAGCAGATGTCAGTTATAAACAGCTTTGATCTCAATTTTGCTTTAAATTGTTTTGCAGTCTTTCAGACCACACTGAAAAAAGTAGAGTAAACACTGTTGAAGCTAAATGCTATTTCTCTGATTCTTTCATTAACACACATCCAGCAGCATCTCCCTTCCCTTCCGTCTCGCTTCCAGTGGGCATGGCTTAAAGCTCTCATTACTCCAAGCAATCAAATTACACTCAGTAAAACATGCACAAGAATCCCCTCTGCTTTTTCAAATGTATCCACTAGAAACAGCTCATACTGGGGATCATCAGCGAAACTTTGTGTGACATGGTGTTTGCTATTAATTCAAACTGATACCTAATACAAGTAGCTAGTACTTCACAGTTGTTTTTTTTGTCGCACTACTGGAAATCTGGACACCTTATTTTTCTATGTAAGTCATGTGATTTTCAAGTAACTTCTTTAAGCAAAAATCAAAGAAAATAAATCATTTTTAAGATATCACTTCTGTTTCTTTTCAACCACTCAGTAATTGATTTTCATACTGGTGGTACTAGAGACAAAACACAGCAGGTTATTTCCAATAAGCCTTTTATAATATTTTTGTTGTCTAAAATAAACCTGAAAAAGTCTAAGTAAAGTTAACTTTCTAACTGCACAGTATTTCACCTACAGAACTTGAAACTTACCTTTGTGCTTGAGTACTGTAGCTGTTGTCATACGAATCATAGCTTTGCTCATCGTAAGCAGTTCCATAGCCATCATCGTATTCCTGAATGGATATAAAAGAAACATAAAATAATAACCCCTCAAAATACTTCACAAACAAGACAGTAACTCAGTTCTAAATATGATTGTACTCTCAAAAAACAGACATGACATATGTACACCCTAAAATGGCAAAATCTCGATGTTCTTGATGTTCACACCATACAGAAGTTGAATATGAAAACGGCTGACAATGATGCTGGGCTTTCCTTAAAGGATAAAATGTGGAAAAATAAAGAATTGCCACAAATTTACTACCAGATAACACAATAAGCTGAACTAAGCTCAGCTACTGATCAGTAAAAATGACATTTCCTTGGTAGTGAACCCTCATAAGGAGAATTAGGAAATCCTATCCAAATATCCCAAAGGCCTCAATGAATATTTAGAAGTATCTTGTCCAGTTTCACCAAGTAAGAAAGCCCTCTGAAAACAAAGGGAGTTAGAGAAATGAAGATCATGTAACGTCATATAAATTATGCTTTCTGAGAAAGTGGGTTATCAACCCTGGCAATGTAAGAATAAAGTATCACAAAAGAATCTCTTTCATAGAGAAAGAAACCTTATAAAGAATCTTTCAGTAATAACTGAAAATAATAAAACCAACTACTTGTGACAATTAGATAAAGATTGTCCAATGCCAGTAGAAAACACCTCCAGTAATCTCAATCTGACAGCCTGCTGGAAGGAAAATTTTCTATAGCAGAGTCATTGAGATCCTCAAACCAAATAAGAGCTGTGAAATTGCTATCTATGAGGCTTTTTAGAACTTCCCCTGTCATTTGATATTGCTTATATGGAAAACTAAGCAATCAGCCCATTAATACTGCTTCACCACCGACCACTGAAAATTACTGCTTCCCAACAGTGATCAGTAGAAGGATGTCTATCAATATTTGCAGGTGAATAACAGCTGATTCCTATGTCTGGAACAGGAAACAAAGATTCCTCCAATTGTGAAAAGAAATGCATGCCTGAAATGAAAAGGAAATTCATTGTTTTCTCTTTCATCAACTCACTGCCCTGAAACTAAATATTAAAATAGAATCTTAGCATTTTCTTTGCTCATCTGATACGGATATCAATTTTCCTTGATGCACCGCACACTAAGCCCACAAAACCATTGCCTCTTGGCACTTAATTATGAACAAGTACTTTATTACTTATTGATGCAATGCACAGACATCTGTTAACAATAGAGTCATTGATAAACAGCAGAAGCTGTCTGAGCCAATGTACTTGCTCTGTTCCAGAGCATTTACATGACATTTGGGCTCCTCTCATAGAATCTACCAACTGTGAAAGCCTAAGAGGGAGTCTCAGATTTCAAACTATGTGCAAATAACGGTGACAACAAATGAAAGCAGAAGACTGAAATTAACCTTTTAACATTTAATGAGAATTGGTCCTGTTCTTCACATTTATATAAACTTTTTCATTAAAAACAGGCTGGAAAAAAAGGGGAAAACAAGACTACTCCAAAGCTATGGTGTGTCTATGACTTCTCACAGAAGAACATAATAACAAACTAAAAAGGAATGGACTTCTCAGGTTAACAAAGCATACAAAAAAATGAAAGCAGAATTTTGGGAAAGCCCATTTTTTTTGTATTATACTTGAGGATCCGGTGCTACCTTTCCATTCCACAGAAAGTTTGCTTGGAATTCATTACTGCTGACTTTTGCCATGCTAATTTCTGCAGTAGTGAATTTAATATCTTTTTCATTATTAGTATTTTGCTGTAGGTAACTAAGTTTTGATTGAAAAATAGCTAGATTCTATTTTTTATATGTAGGACTCCTATCACTTAAGCATGATGTTGCTTATTATCATAATCTGCTTAAATAGACTGATTTTAGTGCTGTATTTATACTTATAAAAATCACAAATTTACATAAAAAAATACACATCCAGTGCTACATGCTGCAAAAATTGAATATTTTTATAAAGCTGCTGACATCTCGTGAACAGAAAAGATTCAAATTTCAAAATGTTTTTATACAGTGCACTTGAAATATCAAGGGCCGAGGGGCAACTGAAGTCTCTACCAGAACATTCCATGAACTAGGTCTGATGTTGTATTTTCTGTCAATCATACTGGATTTGCAAACTTTCTCTTTCAGGAAGTTATTAACAAGGCTGGGCAAAGTAGAGTATTTTAATGCAATCAAAACCACACAGTATTTTTGTTTTTATTTCTGAAAAAGACCTCTTGTGACTTCAATAAATGTCTCATTTAACATTAGTTAATACCTATGTGAAGGATTCTCAGTCATCTGACATGCTTCAGGTAACATAAAACATGTAAACATGAATGCAAATATTTGTATTTATATTTATATAAATAATACAAAACATGTAAATTTAACTTTATATATTCAAATGTAATAAAAAGTATAGAATATAGGTGCATATTTAAGAACATCAGATTCACTGGCCAACGCTGCTGCAAGTGAGTAGAAGAAAAATTACACCTTCATATAAATATTTCCATTACAGGCACCTTATTTAGGCATCTTTCAGTTATTTCTAGAATACTATTGTTCTATTTAAAGCCACTTCATGTAGCAGACAGCATTTGCACACCTACCGATCAAAAGCAATATAATGGACTTCCCCTATACTCCATTTACACAGGGCTAAAAAAATACCTCTAGCTGAAGATAATAACCACAGAATTGCAGAATCATAAAGGTTGGAAAAGGCTGCTAAGATCTTTAGTCCAACCATTGATTCGCCCCCACCAAACCATGTTCCTTGGTGCCACATCACCATTTTTTTTGAACACCTCCAGAGACAGGGATTCCAGGGATTCCATCACCTCCTTGGGGAGCCTGTTCCAATGCGCTGCTCCTCTCCGTGAAATTTTTCCTAATATTCAACTTGGTGCAACTTAAAGCCATCACCTCTTGTGCTGTCACTAGCAACAGACTCCCATCTCACCACAACCACCGTTCAGGCAGTGGTAGAGAGCAGTAAGGTCTCCCGAGCCTTCTCCTCTTCTCAGATGAAACAATCCCAGTTCCCTCAGCTGCTCCTCACATGGCTTGTGCTCCAGACCCTTCACAGCCTCGTTATCAGTAAATATCAACAAATACCAGTATTTGTCTCCCAAAAACAAAAGCACAAGCAAGAACATTTTATCTATGAATGGAAGCATTCTGCTTTGATGATTCACCATCCTGCTTCTCAGTACAGCCTAGAAAACCAACTCTCAAACTTAGTCTGATGAAAAGGCAGCAAACGTGCTGCGCAGTTTATGCTTACAATACAAAAATGTAAAAAATACTGAGCTGAAAATGCTACAACTGACTTAAAAGTGCAGATATTTTTCACAGGACAACTGAAACATAAACAAGAATGGTATCATGAGAAACTGTCCTGATTTAAATCCTGATTTTAGGAATTTATTTTCAAATTAAGAGATTAGGTAGAATTATATGGCAGATGCTCTGAAACGATATGAAATAGTTCTGTATAATCTCAAACCTTCTTAACTACTACTCCCTTAAGCTAGCATCACATTACATTTCCTCTTAAAAAGAACTCATGCCTGCAGTTGTCTTAATGACAGTGCCTGCAACGGATGTAAATCCAGGGAGTGGAGAACAGCACAGAAATTCTTCGTAGACAGAATCAATGGCATTGTGTAAGCATTCATCATTCAAGTATGTTAAACAGTAAGTCACAGTCATGGGTCAAATGGTAATAAAGCTAATGAAAGTGATCTCTGTCAAAACTGCCTGTAAGCAATGACAATAACAGGTAAGTGCTTGGGACATCTTTAGGTGAAATTCACAATGTTTCAAACAGAGCTTGGCAGAAGCAGGCAAAAAAAAAAAAAAAAAAAAAAAATTGTAAAAATTTCACTTTAGCAAAGTCATTTGCAGTGCTAAAAAAGTAATTAAATCAGTAAGAAGTCAAATTCCCAGCTCTCTCTCAGTAAGAAAATTCACCCAGGTGAAAAAAATTAAGGCTGTTATCACTACAACGTAAGGGTTTCTGTTTCCTTTCCTCATCATTCTCAGAAATTAATACTCATAGCAGTACTTTATCATCCAATGCCAATGGAGTGCCTACCTTTCAGAAAAGAACTATTACATTCAGAAAAGTACTGAGTGCAGAAATGGACTTGACGGAGAAGGCACATAAGGTAATATCAGCATGAAGAAATGAAGGATATTTTTAGGCAAATTAGAATGGTAAAAGGAAGCAACAGCTGTTTTACTGTGTAAAAATGACATCACCCCATCACTTAAATAACAGGGAATAGCGAGCTATCAGGACAAGCACGGGCAGCTAGTACCATCTGAAGTCTGAGTGATAACACTAAGTACATTTGCAGCAAACAGGCACAGGCTCTAAGCTCTTAGTTTGAACATTTTCATTTGTTTTCATTTAGAATTGCACATTCAACCAGAACAATCAAGGTGTTTATGAAATGAGAAAGGTGCACTGGTAGGTTGTTTCATACACTTTAAAATAATAATTAGAGAACTTGCTAAAGAATATGGCAGCTGCACTGAAATCAAGGCAAGACTATTTCAGTTCTCCTGTATACAATGGCAGGAGCCAGAGTCAGAATCACAAAGACTCACACCTACAGAACTGCATCAAGTCACAGAGGTTCAAATTATGATTAGCAGCTTGAACTCTGAAATAATTGAGGAAAATATTTTATGCTCAATGCAGGTTGTGTTTCAACCTCAAGATAGGCAGGCAAGAGAAACTTTCCAGCTTTGTCACCAAAACATTTGACTGTTTCCACAATCAAAAAACACGTTTGAGTTCCTGACAAAAAAAAAAAAAAGCTTTTCCACTGTTTTTCTGGCCCATGTTCAAAATCCCAACAGTTTATTAAAAATAAACAAATAAAAAATAAAAGGAAAGAAAACAAGCAACGACTTGTGGGACTTAGTATCTTTAAACTTTTTTTTTTTTTTTAAAACATTTATTTTTGCTTGACCTACTTAGCAAGTAAAAGAACTCTGAAACATACAAAAA